ACTCTATCTTGATGTCTTGAATATACAGGCTGTTTCATGAAGTTCTCCCGGCACTAATGGAGCATATGAGTTGTTTGGTTTCAAATACCCTTAAGTCCAAATTTTTCGATTTTGAGAAAACGGCAAAAAAGTATTTTGGGATGATTTTGGCGTTAATAATTCAAACATAATTTATTTGTTATTAGAAGACTTACTGAAGTTTCAAAAATTCTATAACCACGTCTTTTGAAATAGATATAAAAATCACAAAGTGGATTTAAAAATGGTGTTTGGTTGCGTTTGCTACCAAACTGTGGATTAAGGCTCATTTGAATCTGAACAAAATGGATTAGGCATGAATTGAAAGTGAATCAAATCTCTTTGTAGCTAATAACAGGAAACTTTATTTTTTGAAAGATATGTTATTTAAAAACTGTACTTAAAAAACTCTTAAACTGTAACATCAGGTATATTTTCGGTTGATTCACATAAACTAGGCTCTTCGTCCCCACTGTCTTCTCGAGAATCGCCAGGAATATTATTGTTCTGAAATTTTCCCAACACATCTCTATAATAAGCCAAATTTTCTACCGCTCTCCAGTTCTTTCCATAATGTTTGCTTAACAAGTTATTTACATCTCTCATTTTCAGATCTTTTGGTTTCACTCCGGTAGGAATTTCTTTTGGCTGGATATTCATGGCGGTTTGGTTTTTCCTAAAAACTCCTTTGAATGTTCCGGTGTCTGAACGGTAAGATAACTCACCTCGAATGGTGATGGCGTTTTTGTTGCCACGTCGTATAATATATCTCTTACATTGGTTAAATTTAAAATGCCACTGAGACACTGGCTTAAGGATTTTTTGACCAGCACCTTTCCAATCACTATCGGGAACATCTTTTCCAAGTTTAAAAACAGTAGCATGTTCTTGAAAAATATTTATGTATTCTTCTGGCATTACAATTTCTTCTTTCTTTCTTATTTCTTTTTCGATAGTAGCAAAAACCCTGTCAGGTGGAATGTAGGAGTGCCCAACCACTGGGAATACCAGCTCGATTGTTCTAATAGAACTGCTTATACTGCTTAGCCATTTGAACAACATACATATCATAATGGTATTTTTATTTTGGCCGCCGCATCCATCGGCGACCAATCGAAGTGTATCTATTCCCTCTAAGTTACTATTGTTTAAAGTGTAAAAGACGCAGCTTGCGATTTCGTTGGCGCCCTTGGCATGTTCATCTTCAGTCCACGTGAAAATTTTAACATTATCTTTTGTTAACGGAGCATGTGAGTGCCCCACTACAGTAGTGAAGTTGTAAATGTACAGTTGTCTACTATAATAGGTACTTTGATCTGGTATTTTGGGCAATACCAAGTTTTTCTGACAATCAAAAGAAATTGTCAGAAGGCCGTCCCGTTTCTCTTTTAGCTGTTCAAAAAATGCTTTGGCCCTGAGCTTATGTATTCGGTATTCTGTAGTTAGCACTGTTTTAATAGATGCAACCTTTTCATTTTTAATTTTTTCCCGGAGTTCAAGACACTTAGAGCAAACATCGGTGCTAGGAGATCCAAAGCCGATGTTGAAGGAAGTATTAAAAATAAATCGAAAGTAGCTCTCTTTAATATCTAAAGGCTGTCTATTTGATTTGAATTTTTAAGGGATTCGCGCGTTTTTTAATACAAATCATTGAGTATTTTATAGAAAACAACTTTTTCTAACAGATGGCGTTTTTTTGCCTAAAAATGGATTTAGGGGATATTGAAACCAGACAACTCATATGTCATCAATAATAAGCAGTTTTAGAAGTCAAACACCATCACATTTAGTATTGTGTAATATTAATATATCCTGTGATTGGATAAAAAACATAAAATTATAAAGAGGAGGTGAATATGTTCATTCATGAACTCTGGAAGACAGCAGATTTAGTATCAAATTATTGAAAAGTTTAAATTATAAGACATATTATGATAGCTAAATATCAACCAACACTTTTTAATACTTTATTCTTAAAGCAATTTAAGTTACAATACATTTGCTACAACCCAAAATCAAAAATTTAATCACCACTAAGTGATTCCAAATAATCAGCTGCTTCTTTACTAATCCTGTGATACTTAGCGAGTACAGGTCTGTAATAATAAGCCTGATAATCGTTTCTCTGCGAGATGAATGTCTCAACATCCTTTTCAAGCTTCCTCATTCTCGATTTTTCATCTTCCTCAAAAATATGATGCAAATACTTTTCGTAATCTTCCTGAGGAGAACTTACAAGATATTTCGATATAAATCTGGTGATTGGGTGCTAAATTAAAAATTAACCTCAAAATTTCATTATGTAAAAATAACTTGTTAAGTTACACGAAAGTATTCCCAATGTTTTGGAGTATAACCCTCAGGGATTTCGCTTAACGTAGCTGGCCCAATGAAAATGTTCACGTAAGTGACAATCAAACCAACCGGGATGACTCCAAGCATCACGTAATAATGAAAGAGATCTTTGAATTTAGTCCATTGGAATCTCGATGGTTGATAAGGAAAAGTGTTGTGTCCAGACATAGAACGTTGCGCTTAAATAATAAATTAATAACATTTTTATATGACATAACCTCAAAATTATGTAATATTTCCCTACCTCCGTTTTTTACCAACAAATTAGCTTTGTTGAATAAAATGGGGCGTAGCCCGCTAAAAACCACCATTTTTTTAATGTGTAATCCTCCAAATTTAATTAAATTTATATATTTTTATAATAAAACCCGAAATCAAGAAAAATCGTAAAATCAAGATGGTTAAAATATATTTGGGGATATTTTTGTTTTAATGTTGGTTATGTCAAAAACATAACCTTTAAAATTCATACAAAAATTGATAAAAAAATGTATATAATCTAACATTACGAAATGCTCCCAAACATTTTTAGATATTTAAGTAACAAATATAATTATAGTTTATTAAAAAAAACTAAAACAAATTCGTTTAATCGGATTATACACATCACAAAAAGTAGGGTTATAAATCAAATCTGAATTTTATATATTTTTAAAACTTTTTTAGCCTTAAACCACGGCGAATACGAATGGAAAGATCCTAAATCTGACGAAGAAGTGTACGTTATTAATTCGCACCCTAATTTTTAATCAATAATTAATTTTTAGAGTAAATATCTGTATCGTTAAAAAAGATGGTGAAAAAGTTAAAATTCGAGGTAAAATCGGAGATAACCTGCTTTATTTAGCCCATCGGTATGGCATCCCTATGNATATTTGAATTATAACTGTTGATATCCATGTTGCAAGTTTCGTTTAAATATTAAAATAATAAACAAATAAATATAACTTCTTATCTTGCAAATTCAATTTATTTTAACGGAACCGGTTTCGACTAGTTTTACTTAGTCATCTTCAGCCGAATCTACAATTATATTTTAATTACAATTTAATAATTAAAAGTTAAAATTCTTATAGAACTTACGGTCAATAAAAAATAAAATCAAACATCACAAAGAGCATATAAATAACATTTTAAAAAATGTGAAATTACACTTTAAAATATAATATATAAATAAATAAACTGTAAAAAGACAAAACCACATAAGTTCTTACACAAACGATGTACAAAATAACACTAAAGGTTCCGTTAAAATAAATTGAATTTTGCAAGATAAGAAGTTATATTAAATTTATTTGTTTATTATTTTAATATTACTAGAACTGACACAAGACCTAGAATTAGAAACATCCCGGTTTAGCCCTCTATGTCTTTCATAGACATAGAGAGTGCTTTTGATAACACCTCCTATGAATGCATAGAGAAGGCTCTAAACGTAAAAGATATACATCCGTCGACAATCAAATGGTGTATAGCCATGTTAAAAAGTCGGTAGATCACAGTCAGTCTGGGAGGCGAGTCGACTATAAAGGCGCTAAGAGGATGTCCCCAAGGGGGAGTGCTATCATCTCTACTATGGTGCCTGGTAGTTGATGACTTGATGAACACCCTAACAAAAAATGGATTCAAGATTCAGGGGTATGCTGATGACCTGGTTGACAGTAAACAATCTCATTTAGCTTTAAGCAGAGTTATTATAACGTTTGCAGTAGTTATGGATTGTCACAAAGCACTGGAGGAGGCCGCGAAATACAATCGTGTCAGAATTCAGTGAATTAAAGGGCACGCGGACAGGCTAGCCAAACGTGCTGCCGATAGAGCGCCCTGTGCACCCGAGCCGATAATTACCCCTTCTTTAGCTACTCATATCGAGTTAATAAAGCGCATAAAACCCACAAAAAATTTTTAAACGGGTGGGACCGTACCCCGGGCTGTCATCTCGCCAAGGAATTGTTAAAATATCCTTCAGCCGCAACAGCCCAGTTCTTCGTAGGGCTCGGTAAAACTGCCCTTCGCACTGCCACAGGTCTCCTCACGGGACACCGAAAAGTAAATAAACACCTTCAAAACATGAAGCTTGCTGACTCCCATCTTTGTCGAGCCTGTGAACAGGATGACGAGACGGTTAAACACAGGTTGGGGTGGTGCACTGGCTGGGGGTATCACCTCAAGATCATCAGTCACTAGTGTCAGTACTTAAGCTCAGTACTGAGCGATTAGATTCATCAATTTAATATATTGTAATGTATTAAACGGTTCAAAAGACAGATTAAATAATGTAAAATAGTCACAATTAGTGATGGGCAGAAATATTTACCTACCGGGTGAGTAAATATTATTAAATTTACGAAATAAGAGCATAGTAAATTTTGTGATATCAAAACCAGAACCGGTGTTTGTGGATTTTATTTCTACAGGGTCTAGCAAACACACAGCAGAATATCTTAAGAGTTAAATAAAGAAGATTGTTGTTGTGAATTTAAGCTTCTACAAGACGACTATCCTCATGTGGTACCACTGGATTGCATGGCTCATACTAGTGATGGAACGGATAGTGCTTTTGCGAAAAGCCGGATACCGGATATTCGGCATCCTCTTCGGCCGGATATCCGGTTATCCGGTATATCTATCCGGCAACTATGGTTATAATTTCTGGTATATTTATTTATTTTATTTTTATTTGGGATGCAGACGGGACAAGCCCAGCGAAGCATCCACTAAAAATATATAATATTATAAACTAAAAACAAGAATTTAGCAATAAGTAACAAAAAAAATATCAAACAGGTTAACAAAAAATAGCAACAGAAATAAAATTTAACAAAAAAGTGAAACTTAAGCAGAACTAATGATCAAAAATATTGAAAAAAAAATCAATCAAAAAAAAAAGAATTAACGTCGCAAGTCAAACGGCGCACGAGATGCACATGGGAGGTCATTAACCAATTTCCTAAATGTAAACCAATTGTTGTACCAATTTCTGAAGTGATACCCCACATTGCCACACTATTGCGATATTTGAATAAACATGAAATCAATAAGAAAGCTGATAAGATATGTCAACTTATTTGGATCCAACATACAAAATGAACTCTTTTGATGCTGATTTAACTAACAAAGCAACTCTATAAAGAGGATACTTTAATTAATAATTGACGATATTTCCACAAGGATCCTTCAAGAAATTAATTTTATAGCGAATTTTGAAAATTATCGATGAAAATTGCAACATCGAAAGTTTTATCAAAACTTCAAATATTGTTTTCTCAAAAACTAAAAGTTATTTTTCAAAACGGGTTGGTTCATTGGAAAGAGGACACTTTTATTAACACTTTGGGAAATTTTCATACTCATATTCCAAGAAATGGATTTTATACGAATTTTTAAAACTTAATCGGCGAAAATTGCAAAATTCGAAAAAATTGTCGATTATTTCAAAAATTTATTTCTCAAGAACTAAAAGTGATTTTTCAAAACGGCTTTTTGCATTAAAAAGAGGATACTTTAATTAATAATTGGTGATATTTCCACAAGGATCCTTCAAGAAATGAATTTTATAGCGAATTTTGAAAGTTATCGATGAAAAAAACTAAAAGTTATTTTTTATCAAAACTTTAAATATTGTTTTCTCAAAAACTAAAAGTTATTTTTCAAAACGGGTTGGTTCATTGGAAAGAGGACACTTTTATTAACACTTTGGGAAATTTTCATACTCATATTTCAAGAAATGGATTTTATACGAATTTTTAAAACTTAATCGGTGAAAATTGCAAAATTCGAAAAAAAAAAAAGAATTTAAAAAATTTATTTCTCAAAAACTAAAAGGGATATTTCAAAACGCCTTGTTGCATTAAAAAGAGGATACTTTAATTAATAATTGATGATATTTTCACAAAGATCCTTCAAGAAATGAACTTTGTGGGGAATTTTGAAAGTTATCGATGAAAATTGCAACATCGAAAATGTTATTAAAATTTCAAATATTGTTTTCTCAAAAATCAAAAGCTATTTTTCAAAACAGGTTGGTTCATTGAAAAGAAGACACTTTTATTAACACTTTGGGAAATTTTCATACTCATATTCCGAGAACTACATTTTTTTCGAATTTTTAAAACTTAATCGGCCAAAATTGCTAAATTCGAAAAAATTGTCGATCATTTCAAAAATTTATTGCTCAAGAACTGAAAGTGATTTTTCAAAACGGCTTTTTGTATTAAAAAGAGAATACTTTAATTAATAATCGAAAGTGATTACAGCGACAGTTCTGTTAGTAATGAATGTCGTGATGAATTACAAGCGAAGAGAAGAAAACTAGACGAAACTGCAACAAGAGATTTTATATATCGTATTGGGATTCTTACAATGAGGGTGCTAAAGATGATATAAATAAAGTTGTATTCAATGAAAAAAGTCCCATTGGGGTTGAATTTGATTATTATCTGCAGTGTCCAATGCCTAAAAGAGATACTAATTCCTGTGAATGGTGGAGTACTAAGTAATAGGTTTTTAATATCCGGTCAAAGCCGGACATTTGGTAACTATTTTAAAAAATGGCCGGATAGTAGCCGGATATCCGTTCCATCACTAGCTCATACTTTTCATCTTCTGTGCAACGATATCTTAAATTTTCCACCTATACAGAAGTTAATAATAGACGCTACACACATAGTTAATGCAATAAAACAATCCCAAATCTTATCTTTTCTACTTATGGAAATAAGCAAAACGAAGGAGTGTAAACTTAGTTTGTAAAACTTGTAAAACGCGCTGGGGAAGCCATCTCTACTGCATGGAAAGTTTAATATCCAACAAAGTCAGCCTTCAAACTTGAGTTGTTAAGATATAAAAACTCGTTTACTAGATGACCCTTTCTGGGCGCAAGTACAACAAATTCATGACATTCTGGACCCTAGAATCAAACACCACGATGATCCACAAAGTGCACTCTCTGAAATAGGACTAAAAATTATACGTGACATTTCAAATTGTTGCACATCTGAGGAAGAGGAAGATGCAATAAATCAAAAGGTATTTAATCGCAAGTAACTTGTTACAAGTCCGATTCATCTTGTCGCTGCACTACTGAATCCTTGTTCTAAAGGAAGCAGTTGGAGGAAATAGACGCAATGGAGTTTATACAAAACCTATCCCAGTTAATGCACTTGGATGTAATGGCAAATTATAAATCAAATGATGGGCAAAAAGATTCTTGTGGACCAGGGTAGAAGGGCCTGTGTACCAGCTCCGATCTGAGTAAAGTTACTGTTAGGATTTTATCATCCCCAGTGTCTTCAGCGGCCCCAGAATTTAGGACTATTATGAATGAGGGCTGGAAAAAATATTTTTATTGCCCATAATTGGAAATTAATCAAATCTGAAGTAACAGAAACGGGGGAAGCACAGAGAATAGTGATGATATCTTTTCCTTAGCAAGTCTTGAATTATCTCATTCCTTTTGGCACGTATCCAGCGCTTCAAAGTTTCCAACAATATCTCTCCAGTCCGAAAAAAAGCCAATATATATCGTTTCCCTCCATTCCTTTTTGCACCGATATCCAATACAGGACGTTATACAGGAAGAACCGACACAGAGAAGGACATGTCGAGGTCAATGAATTAAGATGATTTTACGCAACTTACCTCCGAGGATATTATTAGAATCCATGTTGCGAGATTAATTAATAAAAATAAGATATAATAAAACAATAATGTGTTTTAAACTTCAGTTTCTCGCGTTTATTTCAAAATTTCCTCGGTACCGGTTTCGACACTATATTAGGTCATCATCAGCCGAATCTACAAAACAATTGAATTACAAAAAATCCTGTATGAATGAGAATAATTAAAACTATAAATAAAATAATATAAAATCTTATAAA